TTCATATAACGTTTTCATCACTAGATCTTTGAATAATGGTACCATTAATTGCTGTCATGATAACCGTAAGACATAATAGCAAATTGCAACGTAATTCATAAAACATATCGAAAATAAAACTACCCTTAAAACTTTTGTTAACCCGTCCATACTTTGAATTTTATTACTTTCACCTTTTTTGCTTGAATTTAATTAACCAGTAAATTGCCATCTTTATATAGTAGAATATTAGGATTATATAAGCAAGTCTGAACAATAGACATTTCCAAAGAAATTCTGAGAAGTGGATTCTTCAGAATATTAGAAACAGTTTCTTTCGCAACCAGTTTGCATTCTTTGAAAATTAATGCATACTGTACATTCTAATAACCCGCATTATTGCAACTTTGAATGAGATTCCCTTGTAATGATCCCCTCCTCCCAGTGGAGCTCATAGCTATGCTTTAGCTACTTTCAAATGCTCATCTCAGCTTAGTCACCTAATTCATTATGTATCAATTTGAATCTCTGTTTCCGTCGTAAACAGATGCCCTTAAATCTGTATCTAAGGGATCTGCTTGTGAGACATGTACCTAAATTTTCAACTGTTTCTGGTAATTATATGAGAGCTCTGCTAGAGCTCCTTATGTATGGGGACTATTTACTGGTGCTTAAAAGACATATGTTTATTTCCTTCAGTCCGATTCTTTCATAATCGTGGTAGCTACAAGCCTATTTCTTTTTGCAAAGATAGTAGCGTTGAATGCGTTATCTAGATAGCTAAATTAGAACTTTCGTTATGGAGAACATCCTTCACGAGTTGATTTGCTAAGTTCCCTATCCGCATGGATCGTTGTTCTTTCCAGGGATTTAAGCCACTGCTAAACTTCCTGGTCTCTATATGCTACTGCCTACTAAGTTGAAGCACCTGGATATTGTCAAATGATGCATATTTGTCACCTCCATTCTGATAGCCCTTCTGATCTCCCTGTGGTTCCTGTTGAAATATTTGTTGAAATATTCGGTGGTTATTTTAGTGAATATTCAATTTAATTGAGAAGATGTAAATCGATTGCGAAATTAAATGAATACTTAATTGAGTAATGAGATGAAAACAACCTTTTAGTTAAATGCAGAAACCTTCGGGCTGACAAGCGAGTTGACTAAACTACCTGTAATTAATATTAATCACTAATTTCCACCTCTTATTCTGAAAATCATACTAGTTAATTCTATAATAAATACTGAAATGATCTCCCTGAAACTACTTCTAGCATGTAAGCAAACTAAGAGTAATCCATCAGAAGGATGTACATGTATCATTTTTAATGGTTTCATTAAAAAAAAAATTCGCAAAATTATGCGAATCTTGCAATCAAACGAACAAAATACTACAGAACAGTTTGGTAAATCAGGTATATTAAGTAGTGAAAAACTTACAATTATTTATATTGAACAAATTGATGTTGATGAAGTTAGTTGATGATGCCAAATGACTATAACAAGTAAGTCTTTAAAATCATTATTATTCTTACTTGAAGAACCCATAGAATTTGATTCAGAGATTAATCTTGCTATTATTACTTCGTTAGTAATTGAGCATTCAAATGTCTTAATCAAGGAAAACTAGAGACCATTTCCGTGTATCACCAGTGGTTTTCTAAAAGCCTTTTGAAGGTATGAGCTATGGTGGAGAAACATGAATGATTTTCCTTTAAAATGGTCTTGGTGTTTAAGAACCGCATTTTTATTTTAAGATAAATTTGGACATAATTGGATTCACAGTGTATTTATTAACAAAAATCAATCCAAGGTTAATGTTCTCACTTTCACCCATGCAAATATATTCCTAATTTTGAGATATGCAAAGGATTACCTAGATAATCTAGGTAATGTAAAAAGAGACGAGTATTAAAAACCCCAAAAAAGGGAGATCAATTATGAGTATCAAAGACTATTGTACATTTAAAGTTTGTTTCAATGATAAACCGAAATTTATTTTCTAATATACAAAAGATAAACCAAATAAACTAAATAATACATAAGAAAACTAAAGTGAATAGTCATACAACTTAGTTAGCAGCTGAAGAGTATTTAGTAACAGCTCTGGTACCTTCAGAAACAGCATGCTTAGCTAATTCACCAGGTAAAATTAATCTAACAGCAGTTTGGATTTCTCTAGCAGAAATAGTAGACTTTTTGTTGTATGCAGCTAACTTGGATGCTTCACCGGCAATTCTTTCAAAAATGTCGTTAACGAAAGAATTCATGATAGACATGGCCTTTTGCGAAATACCAGTGTCAGGGTGAGTTTGCTTTAAAACCTTGTAAATATAAGAAGAGTAAGTTTCCTTTCTGGTCTTAGATCTCTTCTTGGTATCAGAAGAAGCAGTCTTCTTTGCAGCAGGTTTCTTTTCAGCAGGAGCTTTTGAGGCAGGTTTCTTTTCAGCTTTTGGGGCCATTGTGAATAATATGTAATACGTTAATAGATATGAAGGAGAAGAAAGAAAAAAAAAACCAGAACGGACTGTTGAGAACAACCAACAGGGAATACAATCGCCTTATATAGAAATACGCTTCCCCTACAGCTATGTTTGTTTTGTTTATTTGCGTGGCTCTTGTGAACGCGTTGGTGATGTTTGATATGTAAACAAACTATAATTTACGCAGTAATTCCAAAATTTACTCGCACGCGAAGCAATTCTGAAAAGTTCCCTTTTACCCCGTAAAAAATATCATCATCAATCAATCTCCCTAAAAGATGGCTGTTAAATAAACAAACACAATTTTGATAAAGATATATAAATTTACATAATTCATCTTTCAATAGAATAATTGTTATAAATTTCGTTCTTGTTAATTAAATAATAATAATAAATAAATAAATAAATAAAATGTCTGGTGGTAAAGGTAAAGCCGGTTCTTCTGAAAAAGCTTCGACTTCAAGATCTGCAAAGGCTGGGTTAACTTTCCCAGTTGGTAGAGTTCATAGATTATTGAGAAAGGGTAACTACGCACAAAGAGTTGGTTCTGGTGCTCCAGTTTACTTAACTTCAGTTTTAGAATATTTAGCAGCTGAAATTTTAGAATTAGCTGGTAATGCTGCTAGAGATAACAAGAAATCGAGAATTATCCCAAGACACTTACAATTGGCTATCAGAAATGATGAAGAATTGAACAAATTATTAGGCCATGTTACAATTGCACAAGGTGGTGTCTTACCAAATATTCATCAAAACTTATTACCAAAAAAATCAGCCAAAGGTAAAGCTTCTCAAGAATTATAAGTGAATCAAATTTCATAATGAAGGGTTATATTTCTCTGTGTATTATATAAGTTTATTAATGTATATTATCAAGATATGGAGTTCAATTTCATAATCTCATGAAAAAAAAGTATAAATCACGTGTAATTACTACTTATAAAAGATAACGTCAAAAATTATATTTCTAACTTTTCTATTACATCAACATATCAAGATGGCGGTTCAATTAAAAACTAGCCGTAGCAAGTTTAAAGTCACTGCAACTGTAGGTGCTGTTATAGTCGGCAGCTATATTGTTTTAAAAACTTTCCCACATTTAAAAGATTCAATTTATAATTACTTGACTGGTAGCGGAGAAATTGAAGATGACAATGAGCCTATAGAATTGAAGGAAGAGGCGAAAGACCAACAATCCAATATTGAAACAAAGATAACAGAATCAAGCACAGATACAGAAGTAGTAGCCAAATGGTCTGACAATAAATTGAAAAGCTGGTTGAGAGAAGTAAGTATATTATTCGAATATTTTAATCTTAAGAAGGGTATATAGAAAAATTTACTAACTATTCAAGAAAGAAATCAATGCTCCACCAAATGCTTCTCATAGTAGTCTTGTTTCCCTTGTTGAGTCAATTAAGGAAACTAATTAGTGCAACTTAAAGCTTTGGTACATATAATGAGAGTTTTACTTCAAAAGTGTATTACTATAAGTAATGTATCCGTATTTAATTTATTATGATCTATTGATAATCTAGTGATTTTTATTTTCAGTCCATACATGTAAGCCTTTCTCGAATACAGCACGAGTCAAACCTTTCGTTTCGTCGATATGAACAAATTCACAATTTATCGAAGTTACGTCTCTATTTCTCAGTTCATCATCAAATAGTATGAAGCCGCCGTTTTCTAAATCTTCATGCATCCTAAGATGCTTTGCTGCCTTAGTTATATGTTTAATCTTAGACCCTTGACCCCACTGTAGAGAGTGAAAGTATTTAATCATAGGTATATCATTGATGTGAAATAGTGATAAAAGCTCCTGGGCAACTCTCGGGGTGGCGGTTCTACTAGCTCCAATAATAGTCACATCTTGCGATTTTAACTCCATTAGTATATTTTCAACATCCTTGTACAATTTCAACAGCATACCGTATCTATCGACAACTTCTTTTTTGGAAACCGGCTTAAGTGGCATAGTTATATGTGTATCACACCAACATGGCCACAAAGTGTAATCTAAATCAAAAACGACAGCACTCGGATACTTATAACTCATTTATTGTCTTATCGTGAGTTATATCTTACAAATTCGTGATTGCCACTCTTTTTTATCAGTAAAGATTTCTCCCCTCATCAGTCGCATTTTCATTTTCATATCTTATCCCTTATTTGCAGAGAGGCAAATATATCTTTTTCTTGAACCTAGTTATCTGCTTCAGAAATGGATTCAGAAAACAAGTTGGTAACTATAAAAGTTACTTTTAATCAATTATACACTTCACTGAAAGCTTGTATTGAGAAGTTGATCACTATCGAGAGGGAATCATTTATTCAAATTGATGATAAGGAAAAATTGGTTGCTTTTTTGAGGTCTGATTTCAAGCTTGGGGAATTGAAGGATGTAAAGATATTAAGAAAGTCAAAGAAGCATAAAGACTATATACCATTGGAAACTGAGAGTGATTTTAAATCGCTATCTAGGAGTTTGAAAGTTAAGAACCATATCAAACTTCTTATCAATGATTCAACTCCCGCAACGAAATATTGTCCACCTAAATATTTGAGCGGTGATCCTGAAAGGAAGAAGACAATTGATTTTGCAAGCTTAGGTAAAGCATTAGTGGAAGCTTCATTTACTGTGTTGTCAGATTTCAGGGGTGAAGAATATCAAGCATCAGGACATACACAGAAACAATCAACACAACCACAGACATCGTCACAAGCAACTCAAAGACACTGTGTTAGGAAATCTGAGGAATCAGCAAATAATGATTGTGTTCATGAATTTGTTGCCTGTGATTCTTGTAACCCGACGAGCTTCGTTCCACTAAAAGGAGTGAGATTCAAATGTTTAATCTGTCCTGATTATGACTTATGTCAAGCTTGTGAGTCGAGACAGCACATTGAAGAAAAAAATGATGGAGAGCATTTATTCACTCATCCAATGATTAAGATAACTAAACCTCTTGCTAATAATTCATGTCCAAGAACCTTTTTTGACCGTAATGATATCATATATGATATCCCATTAAATGATTGTTCATTAGCTAATAAAGATAAAATTGAAACCATCTTACGTGAGGGTAACATTGATGATTTTTTCAAAAATGTAGATAAGATTATCGAAGAGTCTGATAGATACAAAATCTTGTCTTCATTACTAAAAGGTGAAAATATTCAAAATGAAGACGAAGATACAAAGTTTGCCTTGTTACAGAGTCTAGTTGAATCATCAAATGCTCAAGAAGATAATTTAGCAAACAGCAAAGAAGAAGTAGAAGAAGAAGAAGAAGAAGAAGAAGAAGAAGAAGAAGAAGAAGAAGAATCAGATAATCAAGAAACAAAGACGGTAGAAGATATAGATATGAGAAACTTCAAGCTTGATGATTGTTCTGACCTGTTGAGTGATTACAATAAAATTCAAATTTACACGAAAAGATTTTCTCAAGACGCTAGAGTAATTTCCCTAATTCTATATAATAATTCATCCTTTTCTATTTCTGGAGGAGACTTAGAGTTTGAATTTTATGATGGTCACAGAAGTGAAGTGATTTTGGTTAAAAACGTTAGAGCAATTTTATCAGGTGAAAAGAGGAGTTATAATTTAGGCATTTCAACTGATAATTTCAATAATTTATCAGGAAGGAGATTGAAAATTTCAACAACTGATGATTCAATTATCATGGATGGTGATTATAGTCCGGGGGAAATAACTTCTTTAAATATTGTGAACAAGCCAAAATTAGCCAATTCTCTGAATAATGAGTTAGAGAAAAGCTTCATTGAAGTTGCTTTGGTACCTAAGTCCAACAGTATGGCCCAGGTCATTATCACCAATAAATCCAAAACCCGCCTTGATTGTTCAAATTTGAAATTTAAAGTTGTTAATTGTTTTGATCAAGTTGTATGTTATCTTAATGTTGTTCATGGTCGCAAGATATTGCCTGAAAGAACTGCAAAGTATAATATCGGCTTAAGTAATGCGCATCTTAAATATCCATTCAAGTTACTTATAATAACTGACTCATTTTTTGCTTCTTGTGATTTAAGTTTGAAGAATTTGAATGGGGTTTTTGAAGTGATTTTAAAGGAAAAAAAGACAGACAATTTAATTAGTGATGAATTGTCTAATTCTTCTAAGTCTTTTGATAAGACAAGTAATTATCCATTGTCAGTTACTGAATCCATCGTAGATGAAGGTCAGAAACATGGTAAGATTGATGATCACGTAGTCTCATCAGAAAACGATGAAAAGACTGAAGAACAGTCAAGTAACAGATCAACAGAAGGTTCAGTTCACTTTGTGGTCTTACCAACTTTGCCAAAGGAATCTTTATTGGAATCTAGGAATTTATCATCTTCCGAATATGATGATGCAAAATCATTCTTAGCACACGAGAATGAATCCACCACTGATAATAAAAATCGGAATATAATTGATGATGCTAATGATTACGATATTATTAGTATGGGAGAAGAAGAAGAAAGTGTTGATTCAGATTATGAAGTATTGTCGCCTGCTATCAGTCATTAGCAGCAGATGATTTTTTTTTTTCGATATGATTTCTAGTCAAAGCCATATTAATCTTGTGATTTTGGTTTAGTTTAATGTGCTTTTTTTATAC